TGGCCTAGGGAATTTTAGCGGGGTTTTTTAGGGGATTTTTAAGGACAATTTTAATGATCGGCCTGTTTAAATATTTCTTTTTAATTCGGCTTTTAATTATTGTATTTGTATTGTAGTTTTTATGAGGCTGTTAGCCGCCCTGAGTCCCATGAGGAGAAGGGCGGGGTATAAATTAAATAAATAAATAAATAAATAAATATGATATCAAATGCAAGCAATTGATATTTACAGTATATTCTGCCCTCAAGAATGACTTTCCTTTTTGTCTGTTCTAATAATATACAACTGAGATAGTACATTCAGTGTTTCAGCTGAAAACATCTAAGCACCAAGGTAAGCAAATGACCACCAAAAGTGAAAATAAGGCCACAATTTAAAACTTTAACATATTTGTCTATATCTTGAGCTGTCCAAAAAAAGCAGTCTTTGGAATAGTCCTTGACATAAAGTTTCTTAATATTTAATATGTTATTTCCATATAAACTGTGGTTTTCCTTCACTTTTGTATCACAAACCACAGCTCGGTGAACATGTAAACATGAAATGAAAATATCCTACTTAACAATTGGGTATGGAATTTGTTCACTGCAATTCTTTCTGGTCAGTAGCTCAATTCTTTTAGCTACTGTTGGCTCCTTGTTTTAAACCATTTTTTCTTCTTCATCAGCTTTTCAAATTTATCAGCTTCAACCGAACCATGAACCAGTTGTCAACAACCATGTCAAGATGTGCCAAAGATATTCTTGGCTTTGCAATTATGTTTTTCATCATCTTCTTAGCCTATGCTCAGCTAGCTTATCTTGTGTTTGGGACACAAGTTAATGACTTCAGTACCTTCCAGGATAGTGTGTAAGTAGAATGAACTCTTTGTTTATATGTTGTAATTTAGATTTCTAAAGCTGTCCAACTCAACAGTTGTGGTTGGTGCATAAATTCAAAACAAAATCACAGTTCCTTAAACTGGAGAAAATAAAAGAAGAACATACAGGTCACCCTCAACTTAACAAAAGTTCATTTAGTGACTGTTCAAAGTTACAACAGCATTGAAAAAAGTGACTTGTGACCATTTTTCACACTTATAACTATTGTATCTCCATGGTCACCTGATTAAAATTTGGATACTTGGCAACAGGCTCATATTTATGATGGTTGCCGTGTCCCAGGGTCATGTAATCCCCTTTTGTGACCTTCTGACAAGCAAAGTCAATGGGGAACCCAGATTCACTTAACAGTTGTGTTACTAACTTAATAACTGCAGTGATTCACTTAACAACTGTGGCAAGAAAGGTAGTAAAATGGGGCAAAATTCGCTTAACAACTGCCTCACTCAGCAACAGAAATTTTGGGCTCAGTTATGGTCGTAAGTCAAGGACTTATCTGTAATACACTATATGCATCCCAGAAGACAGGCACGGTGAAATCATGCTTCCTTGGTCCCATCACAAGGCATTACTTAGTAGATAGGAGATAAAGCATGCCCACGCTGTCACGGGTTATGAGAAGGGCAGAGGTGATTGGGGGGGGAAAGTAATTCCTCAAATAACCAGTCCTATGCCATAAGAGCTTAGTGGATGACAATCAGAAACCTGAATTATACCCTGATGTTTGCTGGTAACCAGCACAGTTCACACAACAGACGTATTATCTGGGCACCCTGAGGCATGCTCACAACTGTTTATACTGCTGCATTTGGAACCATCTGTAGCTTTTGAGAACTCTTCAAGGTCAGCCAAATGTAGAATACATTTCAATGGTCCTCATTCAAGGGATGAAACTGTAAGATAATGTGATTCAAAAGCCGTTAGTGAATTAGTAAATGTCTTACAGATTTCAGTGGATTAGCTTGGGGCTATTATTTACATATGTACATCCCAATCATATTGCAAGGTGGAAAAAAAGAGTAAGAAAGAGAAATCGGAGAGATTAAAAGACATGAGATATAAAAATGAAAATCAACAGCACTATATATTTGCAAATCCTCCTTGCTTTCACTATATCCATACACTATTCCAACCTTTGTCCTTTGGACCAGAGGTCCCCAACCTTTCGGGCACTGGGGACCGGCTGCGTGGAGATAGGTTTTTCCACGGACCGGAGGGGGCGTGGTTTTGTCTGCTGCCTGCATCCCGTTGATGGGGCTTTGCTTGTTTGTGCAGACCGGTTGCTGGTATGCCACAGACCGGTACTGATCCATGGACTGGGGGTTGGGGACCCCTGCCTTAGATTATCCCTTCATCAGCATCTTATGAAACCCATCCAACAATAGCTTTCTTACTTGGACTTGTGATCATGCAAAATCTGAGTGAAATTCCTTCATCCTGGTCAATCTGAATTGAATCCACTTTCACCCATACATTCTTGAACCTTATTTTGTTTGTTTGTTTTAGCACACACTTCTTCAGTACCCTCTTTCCATTGTATTCAGCTTACTTCAGCCTCTCAGCTACAGAATGCATTCAAACACCTGATTTTGCACTAGAAATATCCTGAAAGATTAAAGTTAATTGGTAAAGAAAATTCCAGTTCCACACAATGCCTTAACTGTTGGCTATACGTGTGTTATTCTCTTTAAAGCTTTACTCAGTTCCGCATCCTGCTGGGAGATTTTGACTTTACAGAGGTTGAAGAAGCTAACAGAATTTTAGGACCAGTTTATTTCACTTCATTTGTGTTCTTTATGCTCTTCATTCTTTTGGTATGTAACTTTTTTTTTATTCCTTGACATTTTTGTTGCTGGTCATCTTTTCAAATTGAAGTTTATTTTGCATTATTATTTTTCAGTACAACTAATACCAGCTTTATGCTATGTATCTGTGTATCAGAAGAACAAAAAAAATATGACTAAATCTCCCCAGAAGCATGCACCTTCCAAATCATTACTGTGTAATGGGAGAATCTCACTATTGCATTACTATACTAAAAAGTGGGCAGGTTTCACAAACATCAAATCAAAAATCAAAAAGGTGTAGATTCCTCTGCTTCTCTATCGGGTCTAGGATAACTTGCCTCAGCCAACTTGCCATGGGACAATTTGCCATGGAACAAGGGTTACACTAATATCGAAGAAATGGTAGAATAGAATCAGTAAAGAAAGGTTGCCAAAGGAGGGACAAAATGAAATATGAATGACAATGTCAGAGCGTGCACAGTCTTATTGCGCTGAGGTAATCCAGGAGTAAATACAGTAAACAGTGGTTTGTAGTTAAATGGTGGTTTATCATACACTATCTACAATATACACCAGGAACAATATACATACACGTGGTAATACAGCAAACTCCAACACACAGCAATTACAGCAGGAAAACGGACGAGTGAGAGAGATACTCTAGCAAAAGCCTTCCCTTTTAGGCTCTTAAAGGGATACAGACACAGACCCTGCTGAGTAATTCCTATCATTGCTTCATCCACTTTATGTTACATTACATCATTACATAAGCTGTTTAGCTATTAAATTATTACCTTGACAAAAAGTAAAATATTTTTTTAATTAGTTTGAATAATTAAATGGAATTGTTGAATTGTCTTGCGCCAAGTTGCCTCACGGTGAGTTGGCCATGGCGAGTTGTCCTGTGGTGAACTAGCCATGATGAATTGGCTGTGGCGAATTGTCCCATTCTGTCTCTATCTGATCACCTGCCAAGTTCCTGTCAAAATCAAAACCAACATGGTTCACATTGGGCATTCATGGAATGCTGGCCTAAAGTCTCACAGATGTCCGGTGCTAGCAAGTGATGAAGCTGCTTCATTTTCTGAATATATGAATAGGCATTAACACAAGTGGCAATGTAATATCTACTTTTCATGAGACCTAAGAAGTGGTGGGATTCAGCCAGTTTGCACCACTTCAGTAGAACCTGTAGCTAATTTTTTGTTGCCCAGGCCCAGAATGGACTTCCAGAAGCGGCATTCACACAGAGAACCGGTTGTTCACATATTTGAACCCCACCACTGGACCTAAGGGTGTGTCCTGCTATATTTCCTTCTGCATTGTCCACATGCCGCATAAATGATTTAATTTTTGTTTTTTTCTAATGACTACTCTGGTAAGATACATTAAATCAGTTTAAACGGACCAGAAAAATATTGTTTTATGCTTGCAGTTGCCAACCTTAATTGCTAGAGATATTGAAAAATAACTCTTTTTGTACTGGGATCCTTGGTCAGCATGTTTGTTTTTTTAAAAAAATATTTCTAAAATGCTTTTCTTAAACAGAACATGTTTTTGGCCATCATCAACGACACATATTCAGACGTCAAAACTGATATGATACAGCAGAAGTCGGAAATGGAACTTTCAGATCTTATTAAAAAGGTAATCGAGAACTCACAGTCTCCCGGTGACTGGCTCCAGACCACGCAGCTGGCTTTCAGGGTTGAGGCGGGACTTAAACTCATTAGGGTTTAGAGTGTTGACTCTATTAAAATCAGGGCTTATGATGCCTGGTTCCATCACAGAATAGTTTATTTAGTTGTTTTGTTCTGTTGTAACAAATTGTTTATAATTCCATTTTTGACCGGACTGGAGTAACCCCCTGATCAAGATAATGGGTCTAAGAAATTTAAATAACAGAATAAGATGATAAATGAGTTGTTTCCATCTGGTAGTGGGAGGTTGGGGAGGAAAATATCATTTCATTTAAATATTTTAAAATGAAAGAGACTAGACGATCTTCCTGATACAGTCTCTTGCTATCAGAACCTCAGCTGACAATCAGCTAACATACCTGTATATAACAGAATCTGTGCATGATTTATAACTGTTTTTCAAACTTGTCAACCTTAAGATGTATGGACTTCAACTCCCAGAATTCCCTAGCTGACTAGGGAATTCTTGGTGTTCAAATCTACACATCTTAAAGTTCCCAAGGTTGAAAAACATTGATATAGAAGTTTTAAGGATAATCAGTAAATCAATTATTTTAACAAGTACTTCTAAATCAGCCAAATAGATATTACGAGAAGAGCAACAAAGATGATTAGGGGACTGGAGGCTAAAACATATAAGGAACAGTTGCTGGAATTGGGTATGTCTAGTTTAATGAAGAGAAGGACGAGGGGGGACATGATAGCAGTGTTCCAATATCTCAGGGGCTGCCACAAAAAAGAGGGAGTCAAGCTATTCTCCAAAGCGCCTGAAGGCAGGACGAGAAGCAACGGGTGGAAACTGATCAAGGAGAGAAGCAACTTAGAACTAAGGAGAAACTTCCTGACAGTTAGAACAATTAACCAATGGAACAGCCTGCCTCCAGAAGCGGTGAATGCTCCAACACTGGAAGTTTTTAAGAAGAGACTGGACAGCCATTTGTCTGAAATGGTGTAGGGTTCCTGCCTGAGCAGGGGGTTGGACTAGATGACCTCCAAGGTCCCTTCCAACTTTATTACTATTATTATTATTATTATTATTATTATTATTATTATTATTATTATTATTATTATTATTATTATTATTATTATTATTATTATTATGCAGGTCTGCAATTGGTAAGCCATTAGCTTCCATTGGGAACTTCAAGGCGCTTCATTGCATTGCTTGCCTAACAGTTGTATCCACATAAGGAATATATTGCTCTCCTTTTTCAGGGATACACCAAAGCCATGGTGAAATTAAAATTGAAAAAAACACCAGTCGATGACATTTCAGAGAGTCTGCGCCAATGTGGAGGCAAATTAAATTTTGATGAACTGCGGCAAAACCTAAAGGGGTAACTTTGCACCGTTTTTTTTCTTTTGTACAGAGATTAAATAACAAATAAATGATCACACAGTTCCTTTCAGAAGTAGCGCTGTTTTCCGCAGCTCAACAATGGAGTAAAGAAATAGTAAGCCAAGGGATTAGATAAGAAAAAAGAAAGGAAAGGAAATTCAATATAGTTTACCACGCAACCGTTTGCAATTTCTCTCCATATCTTTCTGTCCTTGCAAACTAGTCTTCTTTGTATCATATCCATTGCCTTTTGTTCCTTTAATTTCTCACATCTCATTTTCAGATTCTCATCAATTCTGTCAAATCATGGTTTCTTTGGTCTTTTCCTTCCTGTCAGCATATTCACCTCCCTTTATGTTGGTGAATGGATCCTTATTTACTCCTGGTTTACTCTTTCTGTAAGTCAGACTATCTCAATGAATTTCTTTGTATCATCTCCATATGAAAATACCTGTCCATTCTTCTAATCACAAGCATTTCTTATAGGTATCCATAAAACATATTTTACTTCCATCATATAGCACTCTTATCTCAATAAACTGAGTTACAAGAAAGTGTCTGTCTCCTCGTATATTTACTGGCTTAAAGTAAAGATATGATTACTTCACAATAGTTCTTTTTTCAAGGCATACTTTTTTATACAGAGTAACACTTCTGGTTGCATTTAGTGATCCTGCTAATTATATGACAGTTCTCCAAAACAATAATATAATTAAGTTGCTGAATACAGAATGACTCTGTGAAGGCCCCTTATTTATTGCTCGCACCAGAAAATAATTTTTAACCTAAAATATTTAAAGCAATCGTATTTAAAAACCTAGCCTTTACTTCCAGAAAGGGACGTACTGATGCTGAGATTGAAGCCATCTTTACAAAGTATGACCAAGATGGAGATCAAGAATTGACTGAGTTGGAGCATCAGCAAATGAGAGATGATTTAGAGAAAGAGAGGGTGAGCTTTACATTGGATGGCATGATCACATCCTTGAAAAGTGGGGGAGGTTATTTGTTAGCCTGCACTGCTATTGTCCCAGAAAGAAATCTTTATGGCTATGAATGCAGTAAACAATTCTGGAATTCCATTTCTTGGGAAATTTGCTTTTTGATTTCAGAGAAGCACTTTTACCTACTTCTGTTTACTAACTTTGTACCATCTCATTGCTGGTGAAGATCTCTGGCTGCTGAGTGTTGACTGATGAGGCAACAAAATAGCATGCAGGTAGTCCTCAACTTATGAACACAATTGAGCCCAACGTTTCTGTTAAGTGAGACAATTGTTAAGTCAGTTTTGCCCCATTTTACGACCTTGCTTGCCACAACTGTGAATCACTACAGTTGATTAATAAACTGGTGGCTAAGTGAAACTGGCTTCCCCATTGACTTTGCTTGTCAGAAGATTGCAAAAGGTGATCCCATGATCTTGGGACACAGTAACAGTCATTAAGTATGAACCGGTTGCCAAGCGTCTGAATTTTGACCGCGTGGTCATGGGGATGCTTCAAAGGTCGTAACAAAAATGGTCATAAGTCACTTTTTTCAGTGCCGTTGTAACTTTGAACAGTCACTAAATGAACTGTTGTAAGTTGAGGACTAACAGTATTGGTTTTGGATAGGAAATGTTTTGCTCATCCTGAATTGCAGTAGGTTGGGTTGGGCAATCTACTATTTACTTTGAAAAAAACACAAAAATATTCTCAGTGGGTCAAGCAGATTTCCATTGCCTGCAAATCGGTCACACTGATTGTAGGAGTAAGAAAGAGTCAAATTCTAACAGTTGTGTTTGTTTTCACTAAGGAGGACTTAGAGCTAGACAGAAGTTCTCTAAACCGTCCACTCAGTGGCCGTAGCTTTCCACGAAGCCTTGATGATTCGGAAGAGGACGATGACGACGACAGTGGACACAGCTCCAGAAGAAGAGGCAGCAGCTCAAGTGGTGTTTCATATGAAGAGTTCCAAGTGTTCGTGTTACAGTTTTTTTCCTGTCAAATCACAAATCTTTATTAATTCTAAAGTACAGAATCATGTCAAGAACTCATGATACCTAACTCTCTTTCCATACAAATCTGATTTCCAATTGCACCCGGCTGAAAGCAGCTCTCCAGAATAGATCAGAGGCTACTTCAGACTTTCTTATCCAAAAGCCCACTAGACTTGTGGACATGGATATTCCTAACGAAAGTAGTAGATGAAATATTATTTTCTCATGAACAAAGGCGAATATACGCGTCCCAGGATAATGCGCCAGGATCCAATCTGGGTCAGTCACCAGAACCAAAGTTTTTGTCTTCCGAGCTTTCAGATTCATACAGGAACCCATCTTAGGGAACTTCTCTCTAGCAGAGTGTGTGCTTTGGGCTGTTCTCTGTGTGGGATTTACAACAGACACTCTATAAATACCACACACAATAATCCAAACCACATACTCTACTAGAGAGAAATTCCCTGAGGGTGGGCAAAAACACTGGTTCCGCTGACTGACCCAGATTGGATCCTGAAAGATTATTTTAACTGTTATTCTAAACCAGTGGTTCTCAACCTGTGGGTCGGGACCCCATTTGGGGTCGATCGACCATTTCACGGGGGTCGCCAAGCAAGGCTGTCCGCCATTTTTTTCCCTTTTCCGGCGGGTGCCTTACCTCCCTTGGGCTGGGCCAGCTGGTGGTCGGCCTGCTCCGTCTCTGCCGCTTGCCAGCTATGCCTCGGCCGGCGCAGGGGGCGGAACCACGCATGTGCGGCGCTCCCAGGCAGGGAAAGTCCTCGACTTACAACCGGTTGGGTAGTCCTCGACTTACGACCGGTTTAATCCTCGACTTACGACCAATTGGGGTCGCGGCATTAAAAAGGTTGAGAACCACTGTTCTAAACCATCTTTGGGACAGAGATTTGAAAGAGAATGTGTTGTCCATGCTGTTCTTCAAATCCTAACTGTACCCAAATGCATTTTCCGTTCAGCTTGGTCCGTCGAGTGGATCGCATGGAACATTCCATAGGCAGCATTGTATCTAAGATTGATGCTGTCATAGTCAAGCTGGAAACTATGGAGAGAGTTAAACTGAAGAGGAAAGAGGTGCTGGGCAGGCTACTCGATGGAGTTGCAGAGGTAAATTTACTTAACGCTGGCAAAACATTCAGTATTTATTTTGCAAACGTCGCTATTTTGTATTTAATTGCTTCAGATGAAAGGATGTTGCTACTGGATTGTGTACCACATAGTCACTGTCAACTCTTAGGGAGCACGCGGGTAGATTTTCGTCACGATAATCTGTCTCTAAACTGAGCGTTCAGATCTTCCAGTGGGGCACCCATCCCCATTGTAAATGAATCCATAGATTTCACAAAAATCAATAATAATAATAATAACAACAACAACAACAGAGTTGGAAGAGACCTTGGAGGTCTTCTAGTCCAACCTCCTACTCAGGCAGGAAACCCTATACCAGGGGTAGGCAACCTTGGCTCTTTTATGACTCATGGACTTCAACTCCCATAATTCCTGGGCCAGCCATGCTGAGGAGAAATGGAGAGGTTTCCATGCTGAGTCATGCTGGCTCAGGAATTCTGGGAGTTGAAGTCCACGAGTCATAAAAGAGCCAAGGTTGCCTACCTCTGGCCTATACCATTTCAGACAAATGGCTGTCCAGTCTCTTCTTGAAAACTTCCAGTGTTGGAGCATTCACAACTTGTGGAGGCAGGTTGTTCCACTGACTGATTGTTCTAACGGTCAGGAATTAAAAGCAGGGTATTTTATCAGAATTATACCATTCTGGCTACAGATAGTCCTCGACTTACAACCATTCGTTTACCGACCGAAGTTAAAACGGCACTGAAAAAAGTGACTTAGAACTGATCCTCACATAACTGTTATAGCATCCCCAAGTCAAATGATCAAAATTTGGGCACTTGATTTGTTGTTAGTTGCGAAGTCGTGTCCGACCCATCGCGACTCCATAGACAACGTTCCTCCAGGCCTTCCTGTCCTCTACCATCTTCTGGAGTCCATTTAAGCTCACGCCTACTGCTTCAGTGACTCCATCCAGCCACTTCATTCTTTGTCGTCCCCTTCTTCCATTGCCCTCAATCTTTCCCAGCATTAGGCTCTTCTCCAGTGAGTCCTTCCTTCTCATTAGGTGGCCAAAGTACTTGAGATTCAACTTCAGGATCTGGCCTTCTAAAGCAGGGCTTTTCAACCAGTGGTACAGGTACCACCTGTGGTACATTGGCACCTGGCAGGTGGTATGCGAGCATCCTAGAAAAGTGGTAGTGGGGGAGGGGAATAAGCTGAACCGGTGGCAGCACCGCACAAGCCTGAGCGAGAGATGGCTGGAGCTGCAGGGCTGTCAGGGCTCAGCGGAAGCGCCAGGATCAGCACTTCTTCGGGGCTGTCGAGGACTACCTGTACTTTATCACTTTTTTCCCTTTTTTGGGGGGGGTCAAGTTTTTGACACCTTGCTAGGCGACTGGTGGTATTCACATGTTGCCATATCCTAAAAGTAGTACAATGAGTGAAAAGGTTGAAAAGCCCTGATTTAAATTATTAAAAATAATTTTAAAATGCATTTATACCTTTTCACTAAAAGAGAGTTTTAGCCATTTGAGCACGATCAGAGATTGTGGTATTTCTGCTTAGGATGAAAGGCTGGGTTGTGACAACGACGCGCGCAGAGATCAGATGGAGAGACTGGTACGAGAAGAACTGGAACACTGGGAATCGGATGATGCTGCATCCCAAGTAAGCCATCGAATGGGGACCCCGGTGGGATTCAACAGCCACGGACGGACCAGGAATCCCCGCCCTTCTTCCTCACAGTCCACAGAAGGCATTGATGGAGGAGGAGGAGGAGGAGGAGGAGGAGGAGGAGGAGGAGGAGGCAATAGAGGGAGCAACATCCACGTCTAGTAGCATTTGTATTTGCTGAAACTATTTTCCACAAATCATGAGTTAACTAAAGGACAAGATGCCTTGGGACAGGGCTGTGATTTTATAGGGTAAAATATAGGAAACTATCATGTTGTGATCTGGTCTGGCTTTTAAAAACCAGAGCTTCTTGTTGAAATGCCCTTGGTTTCCTTTCCAACTGCTTTGATTAAAAAGGGGCACACTTCTCGACCTGCTATGAGAAAACAGGGAAGCTGGTAAATTTATTTTCCAGTTCTAGAACTTAAGGTGAGAGTGCTTTGCACATTTACCTGGCAGTAAGACATATTGGAACCTGAGACATACTTCCTTAAAAAAAAAAGTACATAAATTACACTAAAAGTAATTGTTTCATATGGAGTAATCAAGTCTATATGATTTTCTCTTCCCTTTTTTAATTGAAGCAGGCAGTCTGTAATACATTCTACGCAACATAATACATACCGAAGTAATATCAGTGTTTGGCTGCATGAATTAGCTTATCACCATTTCAGTATGATAAGATTTGTCTTTTAATCTTTAGGATTTCAGCTTACCGAAAAGGAATTCCTATTCTGTCAAAGCCTATTTCACATGGTTAGTGGGAGGATAACCTTCATTATTCTCAAAGCTCCTTTGAGAAAAAATGTACGACACAATTTAGCAACATTAATCATCTCACAGATGCACGATTATAGGAAATTTTTCCCATAATAGTATATTGTTCTGAACGGGCCACTTACAATTGTCCTTGTAAAATTAGGTTCTGGAAAAAGCGTTCTCTGGAGCGTAATCTTCATAAGCCCATAAAACAGGGATCTGATTAAATATATTCTGAAAGCATTTATGAAAATAATTTCAGTAAAAAATAAGTAAATAAAATAAGCTGTTCTAAAGAAAACATGGACAGCAAAACGAACAGTATTTATGGGGGAGCTTCTGCAAGATTTATATTCTTGTATTTCATCATTTATAAGTCAAAACCAGAGAGGTTGGTGGAGGGTGTAGAACGGGTAGTCAACCTTGGCTCTTTTATGACTCGTGGACTTCAACTCCCAGAATTCCTGAGCCAGCATGGCTCAGCTTGGAAACTCTCTCTTTCCCCTCAGCATGGCTGGCTCAGGAATTCTGGGAGTTGAAGTCCACAAGTCATAAAAAGGCCAAGTTTGAAGACCCCTGCTGTAGATGCTTCATCTTTTGTTGTCCTAGTGTTCATGGCAGGAAGGGAAAGAGCATTCTTTACTCAAAACAGTGCCAAGCATAGCTTTGTAAAACACTTGTGTCTTTTAACTCCTGAATCACCCATGCTTTGGGTATTGAGGTAGAGTGGGAAACTGTTCGCATGG